GACCTTAATAATTTAAACTATATATTAATAGTGAAAACTAGACATTAATAATTTAAAATTTAAATAATTTAAAATAGACATTTATAATTAAAACTAGATAAATAATTGAAACTAGACGTTTATAATTAAAAATAGACATTAATTGTTTAAACTAGATGTTAATTGTTTAAACTACATATTAATAGTGAACACTAGACATTAATAGTTAAAACTAGCAACAAAGAACGAAAAAGTTTGCAGTTAACATTTGTATTGATAATTTATTGTCAGCCACCTCAAGGCCATTAAACTGGCTGCTTGAATTTAATACCATTTTTGCCTTAGTTTCTTGGTTGCATATCTTTAATTTTTTGTTTGTTGCTACCATTTTGTGCTTAGCTTAATGGCTGTTTCTACATTTAAAGAAAAAAAAAAAGCTTTTCATTGTCTTCATCCACATTCTCTCAAGAGTGCTAACAGATAACAACAATTACACTATTAAAGGGATGCTTATTTTTAAAAAAATTATATTATCAGGTGAAGGGTGTTTTTTTTCTATCGGTTATGAATTATTTAATAAAGTAGGCTTTTTTGTATTCACTTTTTTAAATTAATTCAATGTTGATCTTTATTTCTGTGATCATAATTTGTTTACATTTTATTGACGCTTTATTCTTCTTATTAAATCTAACATGTTTTATTATTTCACCTCTTACTTTCCAATTTCTATGATCATTTATTTTAGATGTATAGCAAGGCAGAAAAAAATGTTAATTGCCTACCAATAAATAAAATCGTTAATCTATTTACATTTTAAAACTGTTATTAAAAAAATGTATAATTCCATTTACAGGTGTTAGATTAGTGTTTAGAAAATAAACTTAAACAAAACGTCTAAAAGAGATAAGCCAGTTACTAATTTCTTTCCCTTGTCTTCCATGCAGCTTAAGGACAGACCTAACGGAACAACGAAACATTCCAGACTGCATGGTTACGTGAATACAGCCATGACCATGTCATCGGAAGACATCCCATCAGCCACCTTGGCCAACAGTGAGCCGGGCCCCCCCAACTCATCACATTCCACTACCAGTTCACCGGGTGCTAACGGGATGCCATCTCGTAAACTTTCCACAGACAGTTGCGATAGCAGCATCATAGCCACCCACTTTACAACAAAAGCTTCATTCACTGGGTCATCGCCCTCTCATATTGTACACACCGTTGACCTTCACCTTCAAGATCCATTATCTCATGTGAATTCCAACCATCCATCCAGTGTGGACACACCTAATCCAGTGGCCTCTCAAACAGCTTTAGTTGTTGACATCCACACGGATGATGTCCATAAATCCAGTGATAATAACGAATCAACTCTGGGTAGCAGACCTGATAACACAAGCTTTAGTGGTGCACATGCTCAGCATGACAATAACATACCTGTCCCTGTGGATGAGGTGACCTACAGTAACTCACATGGGTATGAGGGCCTTTCAGACACAGGAACCCTGCCCCCACACCATGTCACTACCATTCAAGTTAAAGGGGGTCATGTCGACCAGCAGGCAACAGCGGCAACCGCCGTGGTTGATTCATTATTACCACATGACATCAGGGATGGACTTTCATTCAAAGCCCAAACACCAAACGCTAATGATGCACTGTCATTAAATGCCACATCCTTACACAACATCAATGATGTACAATCATTGAATGTCACAAATTCACATGACATACCATCATCTGTTCATTCATCACCGTCACACAATGTTGTAGTCAATCTTGAGCCGCTGCAACACCCTGAGCCGATCAACAAAGGCAGTGACTGCATCAGGGAAATTACAAAGTTATGAGAATTAGTGGCATTAATCATTTAAAAGATTTAAAATTATTTAAATTGATTTCTTAATTTGTCCTAACTTTATTGGTACAAATTATTATCTGTTCATTTTGCTTAGTGAATGAATCAGGCAGTTTGATTGGTTGTAAAATTAATGAATTTAGCAATATTATTGGTGGTTTAATTTAATGTATCAAGCAATATTACTGGTTTTTTTATGAAAGAAACAAGCAAGCTTAATTAATCTAGCAATACCCGGTACAGCAATGTGAATTTACATACGAAACAAGCAATTATGGAATTGGTTTTTGCCAACTTCTAAAGGAGCGCACAGCAGTTAAAAATAATATAAATTAACCAAACCCATAACAGACTTTGATTTTTAATTTAATTTCTCAATGGTAATGATCTATTTAAAGAGCTGTAGTTATGGATGATTTGATGGTTGTCAGTTCATAAATAAAACAAAATTTTTCATATTTGTTCAGCTTGTAACTGGATTAACAGCACACCAACAGTTATATATACGGTATATATTTACTCAACTGATTGACGTCTACTGAAACCAACAACTGAGTTTGTGTTGCTCACTGAATGTCAAATCATTGGGTTGTGTGCATGCCCATGTTATTAATTCTACCTTCAGATACCTGTGGTTTTCTGTACTCCAGAAATGGAATCAGCTATCCCTCTGATTATTCTAGAATCAGAATGCAGTTTTCAATCTATATCCATGATTCTACACTTGATGCATCCTCATTTTCAATTGGGCTTGTCATTAAAGGTCGGAAATCTATTAATAGAACTGCTGTAATCATCTGGGTACTCGGGGCTGACAAAATGCATCCTCATTTTCAATTGTAGGCTTATTACTGTCTTGTTGCCTTGATTCTAGTCGTAGAAAATAATGCTTAATGTCATTTTTTTCTTGTCACTCCATCAACATTTAACAACAGCTTTTGATGGATGGATACTTGAACTTGCCTTTATTTAAACAGCCTTGCTATGTAAAGCTGTACTGGAAATAGTAAAGCAGCTTCTATTACCTTGCTAAAATGCCTTCCCCCCCCCCCCCCCCCCCCCCCCTCTCTTTTTCCCCCTTTTTTTTTTTTTTTTTTTTTTTTTTTTAAACATTTTCAAACTAAATTTTTTTTTTATTTTTTTTTTTTTTTTTTTTTTTTTTTTTTTTTTTTAGGATACTTGAACTTGCCTTTATTTAAACGTCCTTGTCTTGTAAAGCTGTCCTGGAAATAGTAAAGCGCTTTCTTTTACCTTTTTAAAATGCCTTCCCCCCCCCCCTCCCACCTCCCTTTAATTTTTGCCACATTTATTTTTTTTTTAATTGTACAAGTACAAGCATTCTCAAACCAAATTTTGAGATCATGTGTATTTTTTTTTTTCCGTTTTATTATTTTCTAGTAAGACTTCAAATAGTTGTGCTGAAATTTTATTCTGGCTCCACCATGACCAATAAGCCACACCCACCTTCAAAGACATGCCGCCTAGGTGCTCCTGATTTATTCTTCAATTTTGAAATGGTTTTGCTCTTTTGAAGAATATGCAGTTATGTTACAGTTATAAGTACTAATCTATGACAGGAAATTGTGTGTGCCTTCAACGATATACCACATAATTATTGTTAACCATAAATGTCTTACTTTCATTGTCAAATGTCCTTTGGAGAATCTTTTCTTGGCATCTGTTTCCGTAAAACAATTATTTTTTTGTGTAAGTAAGGTATCAAACACACCTTCTTAGCTAGTAAGTTTTGACTGAACTGAATGAGAATGAACCTGGGCTGCCTCAGTAACTACTTGTACTGGTGATTTTAAACATTCCATTAAGTCGTGACACTGCCTTAACTTGTTCATTGACATGCGAGTAAAAGAAAAAAGCAAAGCAATTATTTACATGGCAGGATTTTTTTTCTTAACTTTGTGGATACATTTTAAAGATGTTTTGTGAACTTTTATATTTTAACATGTTTTAAAAAATTTTGTCTGGAAATGAAGAAAATCAAAAAGTCTCATTCCTTAAAACTGCTTTGAAAGTTTACAACTGAAGGCCAGACAAAAAATAACATTTGGTTAGAAATTACTTTTTTTTAGAAATTGTATATATCACTGTTTTTTAAGCCACACTATACTTTACAGCTATAAGATGCAGCTATACTATACCTTTACAATTTACAAGCAATGAGAAAGTTTTATTAATCTAAGTTTTAAAACTTCTATTCAGCCAAAAATGCCTTAAAAATACCAAACATCGTAAAATAACAATCTCAAGTGTCGTTAATTAAATATAAGCTGCATTTGTGGTCACAAGGCAAGATTTCATAATACCGGTACACAAAATTTTTACTTAATTTCTTTTAATCTAAGTATGTTATAAGATAGGTTACAACTTACATTGGGCCATTAACTATTTTATGAGAGGGGTCTGTTGGAAAAAGAATTTTGGGGAATATTTATTTGTATCTATACATTTGTTTGAAATTACTATGCTGTGGTACTGAAATTATTATGCTGTGGTACTCATAGCAATAAATTGAGGTTGACCATACTATTTTTATAGCAAGGAGTAACATAAACTCTGTATGAGTTTTTATCCTCTCCCTGTATTTTGTTCCCCTCATGTGAGTTTTTTCATCCTCAAATAAATATAGGTAAGCATTCACTGGTTACCTCAGATAAAATAAATCAAAATACCATTAACTGCATAATATCAGATCTGCTCACCACTTCAATGTACAGATATTGACAAAAGTGTGGAAACATTTTATACACAATATTGCATCATAATTTATTCAATGGTTGTATTTATTGAACATTTTTTATTTCAACTTACTTGAAGTCCATACAAAATGTGGTAGTTACTTCAATTATTTATGTGTCAATCACTGAAGTAATAATGGAAACTGCGAAGCTTTTTATTTTTTTTAAATGTTCATTTTATTGTTTTGTGTGTTCAGTTTTATTGTTTTTGAGTGTTCATTACAGGTTCGTCTCACTTATTCTAATTTATTCGGTTTTGTTCAGGTGATTGAAATTTTTAGGATAACAAAATAATAATTTGGTTAAAAATTACCTTGTATGCATGCAGCGAAAATACCATCTTAAAAACAAGAGGTGAGTTGCTAAAGATCATAAACCATCTGTTGTGTAAAGAAATTGCTGCTCTACTGTTGTTTTTTTGTCTACATAAATAACATTCCGATTCTACATCTATTTTTTTATTTTTTTAAGAATCTATATAATTTTTTTTTTTAAAGTGCTAAATATCATATTGTAAAAATTCAATTTTAATTGTATATTATAATAAATTAAAAGCCATTTAAATTGGTATTTCCTTATACATTCCTGACATGTTGCACTGCGTAACTTTTTTCAATATTTGTGTAACACAATTTGTATTTCACACATCTCTTTGTTTAAAATGTGTGGAACTAGAACTAGAATAGCAAAGCTGCAAGAACTACTGATTTGTTCTGAAAGCAATAAGAAAACTATATTTGTAAAAATGTTCTAAAAGCAATAAATACCTATCTTTTATGTACATAATGTGAATTAAAATAATTATGACAAATGGAAATAGTGCTGGAATAATGACAAAAAAGACCTATTTTTTAAATCAAGTAGTTTATTAACATTTTGTTTGTTGACACCAATTTTTCAATTCTTGGTTTTGTTTTCAACAGCTGCTCAATCTACAATGACTTTTGTTAACTGCACTCTCAGTGCTAAATGTGGCACCCGGATTTCTCTATTATGTCAAATGCTAAAGTCCTCTGCTTGTGGACAAACTGTTTTTTTTTAAAGCTTTATTATTTCTTTTTTTTTTAAAGTGATGTTTGTATAAATTTGACACACTAGATGTACCAATGTGTCCACCACAGAGACAGGGTAGTTCAAATTATTTGAACACACTCTTCGTGGGATTAAAATTTCAAGTTTTCAAAATTATTGAATATACTCCATGCTTTTTATAGAAGATTTTCAAATATTGCATCTGAAGCCCCACTCCTTTTTTCCTTTTTTCCCCCAAAAATAATTTGTTGATACTGATGAATCCCAGTACCGGGTATTATTTGAGCATTTCTGGATTCAGGCCACGAGAAAAAACTTTCAGTAGAATTTCCATATCTTCACCAGTCACAGATTTAGGTTGGATATTCCTCTACCTTGTGAAAAAAGTTTGATTAAAATCTTCCAGGTTAAGAATAACTTCCCGATAAACCTTGTGATTTCTAGTTGTTAGCTGTTTACAACGACTCATCTGGTGCTAACGAACATAATGAGGAGCTAAATTAAGTTTCCACTGAGTAAAATCCTAAAATACCTAACATAGAGAAGTCTTATCAATAATTTTAAAATATGACAGCCATGACCTAGAGCAACGTTAAAAAAACATGCTAATGTAGGCCTATACGTGAATGTAATTTTTTAATATGCAATTATTTAATTGACCGCCATCATATTTTGTTGTTTCTTATATAAATCCCAGATGACTCTGAGTTTATATTTTAAAATTCATTGGTCTTAATACCAACTCTTCAAACTGGAATCAATAAATAGTATCTATTGCCAGTAAAACTGCTGTGTTTGCTCTTTTTTTTTAAAATTTATTGCAATAATTGCTTCATTTTTATATTATAGTACTTTAGAACAAGTTGAACCTCAGTGGAACTATTGCAATACATTTTTAAAAATACATCAAGTCTTCTACCATACCAAATCAGGCACTTTTTATGTCTTCTAAGTTCTATTTTGAATTTGGATACACTTAGAGCACACACAAATCAAAGGTTTGTGTCCTTCAATATTCCATTCCTACAAGTGACAAATGAATCAAACATTATTTATTTTTGAAATTACCTTTAATTGCAAGTTAGAGAACATTAGAGGGTAATAATCTGTTCAATCTGATCATTCCCAATAAGACACCTCCTAATGGTCTCTAAGGTATTTTGTCAATTAAAAAAACACCTTGCAAAATTTAACGACATATTAATGGTAGCATTTATCAACACCACTTCCTCTCCATGACTTTTTAAATTTTCTCATTATTTTCAACACACCTATCCAACCCCACATATTTATAACAATTTTAAAAAAAAAAACATTTGTTTTGTGCACTTATTTTTTTTGTTATTTGGAACACATTTTAACAGACATCATAGCGGCATGGAAGGTTGAGCAATACTGAGCTCCGCAAAGTTGTTCACTCACAACATTTCCAGAATCAAGTGTTATTGTCATTGCCAGCTGGTCACTATGACCAGAGTCATCATTTCTCACCTTTACTCCTACAGATTGTCCCTTTTTAAAAAAACACTTGTACTTGTTCTATCAAATTCTCAGTCACTCATTATTAGTAAACTCCAGGTTACCTAATTCTAAGAGATGCTTCTCCTTTCTGTCTTTAAACTGATAATCTTGTGTAAGGGAGGGTAAACGAGCAGTTCTGACACAGACTTCACCTGGACTAAAATCAAGACTGCAGGATTCGGTAAATAAAAGTGCTGACATCTCATACTTTTTATCATGTTTTTTTCCCGTCACTTCATCAGCATCTGAGAAACAAAATGAATCCTTTTCATACAACTTGGCTGAAGCATTCTCCTGCATTTTCAGTTTTGTTACTGATCGATCCAAAACTTGAGATGTATGCAGGCTATTTTTTGAAACTAAACAATTTGGTTGGACGTTTTCTCTTGTTGACCTCAGCTCGGTGTCATGAAATATTTTTAACTTTTTCCTATGAAAAATCATTAAACTACTATCCACATTAACGTCTTCCAATATTTTCCTTTTCTCCAACACAGGGTTGGTCTCCTCACAACATCCATAAACATTTTCATTTGATTTGCTGGCAGGTCGTTCAACAGTTGCATTACAACAAATGTCATGTAGCCCAGTTTGCTGTATGAATAAGTTGTTACAGATACCATTGTGTAATTTGACAGACTCATTCAGGAGAGCATCTGTTGGAAAGGACAGCTTCACTTTTGTTTTGCTCTGTCTGTCTTGCTTCGGCAAAGCTTTATCTGGTGATGCAGGAGAATTTAGTACAGAACATTCCACATTGGGGAATGAAATGTCTGTGGATACTTCTGGTGCAATGTCCAACTCTGGGGATCTACAGTTTTTAACATCTTTATCTATTCGGTCACTTGAGCTATTGCTTTCATCTTGGTGGAGACGTTTTTCTGCAACAGAAAAACCATATTATTTGATAATTTAATGACTATTTAGGATTTGTATTTTGTATGATCTGCGTGAACAGGAATGTCCCACATTGCCACAACTTTTCTATGAATGTTAGATAATCTTATAGGTGTAAAGCTGTAAATCAGTGTCAGAAAAATAAAGCATTTCACATTTTGTTTAAATTGAAATGAGAAAAAGCAACATAGTGAACATGTTTTGTCCCTTTCTTATTTAAAGCTTTTTTTTGTGGACATTTTTTGCTTTAAACTTTTAATCTCCATTTTATTGTTTATTGAGTCCATCATCAAACTAAAAATAATCATCTTCATTTTGATTGTTTTCATGTAATCTGTAATCTTAACCACAGGAGAATCTATACTTTCAGAATGTAAGATTTATAATGCCCTAACCTTTAGGTTATTAATATTAAGCCAAAGAAAATTTGTTTTAGGGCTCATTAGTGATAAGTTTGATAAATAAATATGAGATATTTCTTAGCCAATATGGAAAATCAACTGCCAAGCTAATAAATTCAAATGGCCTGTCAATAGTGTCAAGGTTTATCCTGGGTCCTAATTAACTGGGCCCTGAAAGGCAAAGGGCAACTGATGAAGACCCAGAGAGGAGGTCCACATTATAATAAAACGTTTTAGGCAGAAAAGCAGCAAATTTTCAAAACCAGTCATGGCCACATTTATCTCACTCCACAACACTCTGATTTGCATGGCAAATTTGTCCACTTTCTTAAATCATTCGGCACTCTTCTCATGGCACACAAAGAGCAAGGTGAATTGAGTGGGGATCATTTAGTCACATCCTAAAAAATGTTTTCCTAACTGTTTTAGGTCTACAACATTTAATTCAGTTTTGGTTTTAATATGATATCGCCAGTGAAAAGAGCAACTATAAAATTGTACCACAAACCATGTCTTGAAAAAAAATCCGTGAGGGCACTTTGCCTCCTTGCGGTCATCAGCTGTGGAGGCGCAGGGGAATTCTGTGTTAGAAGAGCTGAGATAGTCCCACCACCAAAATAATTCTTCCTCATCTTACAGGAAGATAAATTCTTTGTAATTGGCTTTGTATGTCCTCTGTTATTGCACTTTCGTGTTTGGAGACTCTGAACAGTTAAATAAAGAATTTAAATGCAGATGAAAATACAAATGTATTTCAGAAAGTGCATAAAATAAAAAAATTAATGCATCTTATTTTCCCAAATAATGTACTAAAAAATGTAATCGAATTAAAGATAAGATTTAAAATATCAAAAGCTAACCTTTGGTGGACGTGCCTTTGACAGCCAAATGCCAACTTCTTCAGTTATTTCTGACATTTTAATCAAAGTGTTGACATTAGGTTGATCATCATGTTTGATCAGTTTGTCTGTGATTCTGAAACCATATAATTGTTTTTAGGCTAATTGTTTAATATAAAGTACTTTCACTTGGTTACCTGACGAAAGAAAACTTTTACTTTAGTTTAAGACTTTGAAACTGCAATTATTGAACAATGTTTTATTGACCAGTGAGTGGAGATAATGTGTTGTCAGCTGTGCATTATAACTATAACATGATCACTGAATTCCATATAATCACATCCTGTTCATTCAGGGTTTAACAATATTTTTATGCAACCATCACTTATCACAACTAATGAATCCCAGAGATGCCTACCTACGTACAATACAATACGAAGTGGTCTCACGAGCACTTGATTCCGTATGGATAGTGTTGGATTTTGACAATAAAATGGACATTCATTACCAGTTCTTTCAAATGATTTTGTTTATCACCGCCAACATGTTGGAGGCTTTTGTTCTTTGATCTTAACTAAATGGTCATTCGGATGTCATTTGTGGTAGCTTATTTTAGTTAACCTGAAGAAGTAAGTTTACAAACATATAGTCCATTCAATTACCTTTCTCATTTGATACCAAATTTTGTCTTACAAACCCAACAATAATATTTTAAATATTTTTTTAATAAACCCAACCTCTCACTATTTTTCGGGTCTGAATACCCACCTCGTAATCCTTAAACTTATACTATATATACTTTTCGACTACAGACAGACAAATTTAGATTGAAATTTTAACAATGTATTTAATTTTATAAACATTTAATTTTGTTTGCTTATGTGTTAGTTTGTGGAAATTTTTCCCAGGAGCATAGGCATTTTAATTTTAGGACCAGGAGCCAAGGGTTCGAAGGCAGGGTTAAAATAAGTTCAAATTCAATAAACATGTTTATTTTTTTGGTTTTCTGATAATGATATTCCCAATTTTTCTGTTCACTTTTTTCTGAACATACCCACAAATAAATATATAAAAAAATAAAAGTCTTGACGTTATATTATATTATATAAAAGTTTTGTTGTTTATTGTGTTGTATATTGCATTGAGAATGTCTCCTGAAAATTTGGTAGCATTATCTTTTAAAATCCATGGAAAGTGGGTCACACGTTTTTTCAGTTTAATACTACCAAAAAAATCATAACTCCATGTCTATAAAAGATAGAAATATGAAATTGGTGTTGATGTAAAGCTTATAGCTAGCCCTTTAAAATGATGTATCATTCATGTTAATCGGCCGGACAATATTTAAATTGTGTGTCAAAGTCAGTATGTATAGGCATAGGACTTAGGAAAAGAAATCAGAGTTTGAGAGAGTTTAGGCTATATCTGAATATCACCCTGAAACAGTTTCAAAATCGTACATAATTAATAAAATGAAAACTCGTTGTATGATGAGTGGGATACTGAATTTAACTTTAAACACTCATCAGTTCGGAGTTTGTTTTGTTATTGTGCAAAGAGTAGAACGTCAGTCTTTGGTGAGGGAAGGTTGCTCTAAATCCCGAAACACAAATCCATCTTTAACTTTAAGTTTAAGGTATTCAGAATTTTTTTAAAGTTTATAAGGATTATCAATTTCAAACATAATAAACAGATCTCTCCAACGACCTTAAGTCACAAATTATTTTATTAATAAAAAAAACATTTTCATTTTTTGTATGAAACGTTTTTGGTAAAAGTGCAGTTCAGGTGCGTATATTATTTCTTAGCGCATTTCGTATTTTAAAACATTTTTATCATGTAAACTTACGTGTATTTTTTAATAACTAAATACAGGCAGTTATAGTTAACTAATTCTGGATTATAAATCGCATCTTTTCTTTTTATTTTACTTCTAAAGATTCTTTAAACACCCCCCCCCCCCCAACCAAAGTGACACAGCCCCAATTTGTTTGTATTTTTCTTTTTACGCTATGCCAGATTTTTAGCCACCTATAAGTTAGTATGCTAAACGAAATTTTCAAACTAAGCATGTTCACAAAAAAGAATGAAATACTAGATTCTTCATTACGCACAAGCGCCCCCCCCCCCCCCAACTTTCTTTTTTTTTTTTCCTCTCAGAGAGCTCGGATTACAGGGGTTGTCCTTTGAAGTTGGGTCGGGGGGGGGGGGGGGAGATTAGAAGTGGATCACTAACTAAGCAGTGGACACACACGTCATCATTGTCCTGGACCTGGTGTGAAGCTGATCACCCTGAAGGCTGCTAATACGCTGTCCGTGATTGGTCAGCTCTAATTTGAGCACCCCCTCCTCTTTTTTCGTATGCAAATGCGCTTATTACTGGTGACTGATTTGCGCTGAGTAAAGTGAGGGCTAGTGATTATTTTTTTTATATTATAAGACGGACTCGTTTTGGCTTTGCGGTATTGCTGGTTGTAGGATCATTTTGTTTAAAATTGCAGGACGACCAAGAAACAATAACTAAAATTGTTGATGCAACAGGCATTTTTAATGGTGCAGCATTTGGTTTATACGCGCACCTTGTGGGGCAACAAATAACGTTAATACAACTGGAATTTCTCCTAAGGCGCTCGTAACAATTGCAATGTGGCTTGTAAGCTGGTTTCGTATGTCAAGTATGTGAGCTCCCCATAATTACCGGGATCTGCATATCACCCGAAACGGGATCTCACCCGAAACGGAATCTCACCCGAAACGGGATCTCACCCGAAACGGAATCTCACCCGAAACGGGATCTCACCCGAAACGGAATCTCAACCGAAACGGGATCTCACCGTAACTGGTATCCCGCCAGGATCGGTAACCCACTGGATCGGGATCCCACCGGGATCAGGATCTCACTAGGATCAAAATCCTATCGGGATCGGAATCTCACCGAAACGGGATCCCACCGGATTGGGATCTAATTTAGTTTGGGATACCACCGAAAACGGATCTCACCGGGATCGGTATCTTATCGGTATCCCACCATGACCAGGATTCTATCGGAATCACATCGGGTTCGGGATCCCATCATGATCCTTCCGGGTGCCATCGGAAAACGGGAAAAACGAAAGGTTTACATAAGTTATTTTAATTGTTTTTATTAGGAGACAAATTAATTATTATTATTTTTACTATAGTATTGTTGTTTTGTTGTTGACATTTCCTTTAATAGCAATGTGAGCTAAAAGGACGTAGCAGATGTTTTTTTCTGAATGCAGCCCCAGGCAACTCCGGTTATAGTTGATAGTAAAGTTATAAAATAAATACATCATTTATTTTAACAAGATTCATCCAATTGGGCATATTTTATCAAGTATCTTTAAAGACAGAAGAGTTATCCTTGATTTACCACAATGGCTCCGTAAAAAACGAAAGATTCATAAAAATGTACTTTTTATCTCGTAAAATTTGTTGAATTGTTGTTGCATTCCAATAAAAAGATGGTATATAACTTTTAAACTACTTTTTATAAAGAATTAACATAAGTTTACACGGGAAAATAAGAGATTCAAACAGAAATAATATACGCACCTGAACTGCACTTTTACCACGTTTTTATTAAGCTTGCAATTTTTTCTGGATCAAATCCTGCGTCTCTATCTTGACCCACTTCATCATCTCCATTGGCCAAAAAAAGTTGAAATTTCGTAAACGTTTACAATTTTGAACCCACTTCCTGATCTCCATTTGAACTGAAACAAAGAACATTAAGTCGACAACAGACAAATCATCCTGGAGTAATAATTATAATTTATCTGGATTAATTAAAATTGTTGTTATTTTTCTCTTTTTTTTTTTTTTTTTTTTTTTTTTTTTTTTTTTTTTTTTTTTTTTTTTTTTTTTTTTTTTTTTTTTTCTTTTTTTTTTTTTTTTTTTTTTTTGTATTATTTTAATTATTTTCATTTTATTTTTAATTATGCATTTTCTGTATGGGTCGCAAACTGGGATACCGACTCTCCAAAAATACCAGACTATAATGGATGCTTGAAAATACCGGGATTGGATGTATGAAAATCGGAATTTTCGAAATTTCCGGTATTACTTTTTCCAAAAAAAAATATATCGCTTTTCTTAGTTTCCATGTCGTAATTAAAGCAAGACTATCAATAATTAATATGATGTGCGAAGTTCGAGCCACTCAAACCACGTGTCACAAGATAGCAGTTTTAATGTTACAGTTGCGATCAATTCAAATAATGAATTTGTTTTCAAATATTTTATCGGGAAAATGCGAAAAAATAATAATTTAATTTTAAGTCACCAGAAATAGATCTATGTAAAAGAAGAAATTTGATTTTAGATGGCAACAAAAGGTGGAATAGTTTAGCAGACATTTTAAGAAGGATAGTAAGACTAAAAATAATATTAAGAGAGCGATTTAAAAATCGATCTTGTCATCTTATCATTATGTCAAGGCGAATTTGAAAGACTGTTTAATCTTAGCAAAATATTTAAAATGCTGAAAACAACGGTAGAAGAACTTCGCAAAAGAAACGCATAAATGATGACATCTGATGCGGCTTTGATTTTTATGTTTAAACACTTAGATCCCATGCATCGTGAAATAGTTGCTCGTGAACTTGTTGCTTCTCTGAAACGCCGGATTTAAAGCGCAGATTATTAATAGCTTCAACATTGAAATACCTCCATAACTCTTAGACGTACTTTGATTCGTCAAATGACTACTTGTATGTATTTCTAAGGCCAGATTGCGACCAGATGCAAAAATATCGCGGAGATTCAAAAGCTTGATCAAACAATGGATTTCTCTTTGGAAATGTCCATGGGCAAGGAGATTGAACATCCTGTTCAAACAGTGGATTCCTCTTTGGAAACGTCTAAGTGCAATGAGATTGAACATCTTGGTCAAACAGGTGGATTCCTCTTTGGAAATGTCTATGGGTGATGAGATCGAGCATCTTGGATCTGAGCACGAAGAACCTGAAGACACGCTGCCGCTTATGAGACAATTCTAAATTTAAATACAGAAGAAACTTCATGCTCAGGATAAGACTTCCCGACCAACTGATGGAAACATTGATACGTTGGTAAAAAAATTGAGATTGCTTTATTTGAGAATGGCGGTTCAAGAGGAAAATATCTAGAAATTGCGTAAGGTCTATTCCTCCGACCAGTGTGGAGTCAGTGTGGGTGTTCTCGTCATCAGGTTACTTTTATAACCATTTGCGGTCAAAATTAGCTCCCATCCCCGAATTTGCAGGTTTTATGTAAATTGCTATGTACTTTGGCGCCTCCATTAATAAAGAACTTAACAAGCCGACCAAGTTTTTGTTTTGCCCCCCCCCTGAAAAAAACCCCGAAAGACACGCCCTTGTCCAGTATAGATAATTAATAACAATAAAATGTTGTTTCGTTGTTGTTATATTTTTATTTTTATTGTATTACATATAAAGAGTCGTTAAAGCTTTTAACTCTAGTGATTCTCGTGGGTCCACAGATGTTAGAGCTTAACTCCAGTTGTTCTTCATGGATCCACAGACGTTAGAGCTTAACTCAAGTTGTTCTCGTGGGTCCACAGACGCTAGAGCTTAACTCAAGTTGTTCTCGTGGGTCCACAGACGCTAGAGCTTAACTCAAGTTGTTCTCGTGGGTCCACAGACGTTGGAGCTTAACTCCAGTTGCTCTCGTGGGTCCACAGACGTTTAAAGATAAGTTTCATAAATTGATCTTAAGAAAGTAAAATTCCTTTTTTTTTTTTTTTTTTTTTTTTTTAAATTACTTTGTACTTAATCTTTTAAAAATTTTTTATTTTTCTTTTCCTTTTTTTATTTTTTTTTTTTTTTTTTTTTTTTTAAATGATTTTGTACGTAATCATTTGAAATTCTTTTTTATTTTCTTCGTTTTTTTTTGAAAATTGTGTGCAGTTGCGACTCTTTGGGGTTGGGTTGGGGAGGGGGGGTGGGGGCGCGCACTAATGGAATTCTTATAAAGTGCGTTACTTGTGATGCATGTTTTGTCACATTTATAATAATAAACACATGTGTGTAAAGAAGGCGTGAGATAGAGAGAGTGAAGCAGAGAGAGAAAGAGAGAGAGTGAAGCAGAGAGAGAAAGAGAGAGAGTGAAGCAGAGAGAGAAAGAGAGAGAGTGGAAGTGAGAGAAAGGGAGAGTTTATTAAGTAGATACTCATAAGACATGTGTGTGTGATAGCTCCTGTGTTTTTGGATAGATTGTGTAGTGATAAGGAGATACTGTAATCAGATGAGTCTGAGGGACAGATAACCGGAATAAAGCAGAACTCTAGTCAGTCATAAAGTGTTTGTGTTCCAATATTCGGTGTGCCTGGGTATTCAATGACGGACCGTGTTTTGGGATACCATCGACAAACGCTGTCACTGCTTTAAACGATACTACCCTGCCTGATTCCCCTTCTCTGGCCGATAAACGATCCTGCTGGCTGCCGTCCATGGTTTGCCTTGTAAAAGTTCTGGGGGTGAGGTGGGTGAATATGCATTTGTTTTTTTTTTGTTGCACGCTGTTCTTTATTTCATAAATGTATTTTATTTTAATGTCATGATTATTTCTCTTTTGATAATATTTGTATGTACAGCGCGGGGAGCCCAGCCCTATTATTATTATTATTATTATTATTAATAATTATTATTATTATTATATACTATGTAGTGATAAGGAGATACTGTAATCAGATGAAACTGAGTGAAAGATAAACGGAATAAAGCAGTACCCTAGTCACTCATAAAGTGTTTGTGTTCCAATATTCGGTGTGCCTGGGTCTTCATTGATAAACAGTGTTGTAGGGTACCATCGACAAACACTGCCAGAAAATACTGAAAGATGCTGGACTAAAGTAGGACTAAACAAAGCATTTTAACAGTATCCTCCACAATTATTTATAGTTTTACAAATGCATTTTGCTCCTCTAAATGGTTGTCATTAATGGCATGTTGATTGTATCATATTATTGAAGGCTATAGAATAAAAAACATGACTTAATGTTACCAGTGACATCAAGTATTTTATCTGATGCTAAGATAACGGCCCGTGTATTTTCTTTCACACAATAGTATTAAAAACCAATCAGCAGAGAGCCAATTATTCAGTGAGTTCTTAGTTTATTCATAAAAAGCAAGCAATAGAAGTATTATAAATTAGTTCATTACTACCTCTGTTAATTTTAAATGTCTCAAACCTCAGCTTTATGTCTTTTCTGTGCGTTGTAGCCAACCAGATAGGAAAATGACATCCTTTCACTCCGGTGCATAATTTGCATTTCTTTAAAATTAAACATTGAAATCACAGCCAAAAGTTCTCAAAATACTTATAGAATTGTCTCTTAAGTGGGATCAATTAAACCCAATCTCGGTATCCTCGAGTATATCAAAATATATGATCTGTCTGCTGTTTAAATGACTATGCGTGCTACCAGCATGTCTCATGTCATACATGATATACACACACGTCAGATTTAATTTTTAAATTAAAAAAAAAATATTCTCATTAAAAAAAATATTTTTATGTATAGGAGGTTTATTTTACATTACAGTATTTAAACTCTCCCTAATCTTGCAATACAAAACAGTAGATGTTGTGACAAAGATACGGCGATTTTGTATTCTCAATGAATGTGTATTTTATTCATGTCAGTAAATCATAGCAAATAAAAACTTGTAGCGAATTTCCCACCTATCATTGACCGACTGGGACGTAAGGTGTTGGTGAAAACTGTATATTAATAGCAGATGGATTGGCCTCTTTGAACAGAGCCGTCACAGTAGCAACGAGGATACTCATTTCCATCTTGTTTATCTTCATAAAAATGATTAGCATCTACCTTGTGGCAGCCACCCTTGAAGTCTCTGCACGCTGAAAAATACAACAGAGCCGCAGTTAGAACGGTGGCGCTATTGACCGCCAGCTGGGGTTTCACGTGAGTTTTTTTTTTTAATATAGAAAAATCATAATGTTATTGGCTAGACATGTACACAACACGCTGTATAATTAGATTTATTATCAAAGATGAGATGGGTCAGGGTCTTTGGGTATTTGGGTATTTCTCTNCTCTATATATATAAAATATATATATATATATATATATATATATATATATATATATATATATATATATACTACCAATAAATGTTACTTTATGACTCCTAACTCGGCAAGAAAAGCTGCGTCACACAAAGCAGCTCTGTGTATTCAGACAACAACGACGCTTGCAACACGTGTCGTCATCATCGTACTAACCGACGCTATAACGACGGCTTTAACTTTAAATACATTTCTTCTTTTATTCTTTTGTTCAAGAGTGCAACGCCCTCTAATATATTTTGGCTCCCATCTCCTGTGGAGGCACAAGGGTTAAGTTCTCGCCCAATGCAGTAAAGTTTTCAATTGAAAAGTTCGAAAGAATATTTGGAGAATTTTTTTAGTCCTTTTTGTCTATATCAAAAAAAAAACGTAAGGTTTTGACCAGTCTTTTGATTCTACAAAAGTTTACCTTTCCACTTGGTTTTTTTAAGTTTTGTGTTTAAATACCTCCCCCCCCCTCCCCCCCACACACACAGAGATAAGGGTTCGTCCATTAATTACATCAACAATTTTTGTCAATAAATGTCAAAAGTTTAGTGACTCCCCCCACCCCAATTTAATTTATGTCAACATTTTATTAACCCCCCCCCTCCCAAATGAATTGTAATATAAATAAATTTATAAATACATTTTACTTCGCGCTGATCTGTTAATGAAACAAAATTGTAGGGAAAACATTGTATTGCATCTTTAGCGTGTTAATCAACAAGGTAACACGTTTTTACACTTACATTTCATAATGCTGAATCAAATTAAAAGGTTAAGACAAAATATCTTTTTAAAAAATTATATGACGATTTACACTCATTATTTACAAAAAAAAAATAATGTAATAGCCAGTCAATTTTAATTTAATAGAGAAAAAATGACGGCAACTAATCTAACCTCACTCCCCCCCCCTGTCAACAAATGTCAAACATGTCCAAACAACCCCTATTTTGTTGACATAATTTATGGACGGCCCCTAAGTTAAATAATTCATTGAAAGTGCTTCATTTGGGAATGGGCGCCAGCCAGTAATTTTCAGCAGTTATTAGCAGTCCGCACACCACTAATGATGCTACTGCCCCACCGATGATGCTACTGCCCCATTGACGATGCTAATGCCTCACCAATGATGCTACTGCCTCACTAATGATGCTACTGCCTCACTAATGATGCTACTGCACCACTAAAGATGCTACTGCACCACTAATGATTTTACAACCTCACTTATGATGCTACTCTCTCACTAATGATGCTACTGCCCCACTAATGATGCTACTGCCCCACTAATGATGCTACAGTCCCCACCAATGATGCCACTGGCCCACTCTACTTATTTTAAGTTATCACGCCAACAAGCCTACTTACCAGTTTTAATGATCGCTGAAAAGTAAGCAAAGTGGTTGTTCATCGGAGTCTTCGTACAGCGATAGTCCAAGCACTCGTGTGTATACTCCGCACCCAAAGGCTTACACACGTCATTGAACTCACAGCCTGATGGCAGGAATGAGATGGGTTCAACAGGTGGAGAATATAATATGTTTCTGATAGTCTAACTATGATGATTGGAATTTGTGAAGGACACAGTCTCACTATGATTATTGTAATTAGTGAAAGAGATATAGGCCCGCTATGATGAATGGGGTTAGTGGCGATTGGGGGGGGGCGGGAGGATATAGTCTTACTATGAAGATTGATAGTTATAAAGAGACACATATTATGCTAGTCTCACTTACGTTATTTTCGAAATCTCTTGTACCAAGTGTGTCTACACCAACCCCCCCCCCCCCCCCCCCACCCCCCCCCCCCCCCCCCCCCCTGGCAAAGGTGAACGTGAATACATAGTGTCATAGGGAAATGAGAAGAACATAAAATGTGTTTGCACACACGCAACAACATACAACACATTCGCCTTTATTAACTCTGCTTATAATATAAACTTATAGAAAGGCAAATATAAATAATATGTTATAGATCTACAGTTAATTATCAAATGCGCTAAATTGGTAAAAATGAACGACGATTGGCGGATAGGTTTAGCGAACGTCTTCGCCACATTGAGCAGAAAAACAACAACTCCCCGTCTCATCCCACTTATTAAATGAAAATAAACATAAATGCGCTTCCAATGATCCCCGGGCCTATTCTCACATGATCCCCGGGCCTATTCTCCCATGATCCCCGGGCCTATTCTCCCATGATCCCCGGGCCTATTCTCCCATGATCCCCGGGCCTATTCTCCCATGATCCCCGGGCCTATTCTCCCTTGATCCCCGGGCCTATTCTCCCATGATCCCCGTGTCTATTCTCCCATGATCCCCGGGCTTATTCTCCCATGATCCCCGGGCCTATTCTCCCATGATCCCCGGGCCTATTCTCCCATGATCCCCGGGCCTATTCTCCCATGATCCCCGGGCCTATTCTTCCAATGATCCCCGGGCCTTATCTCCACACCTTTTTTTGTTTCCATCCAATCAACGCGTACTTTCTATTCTTCCTTCTATTATTCTGCCTGTCCTAAACCACACTGCATAATTTTGCAGTGATTTCTCTGACACGGTGTCAATGTATTCTTAAAACTGATTTATTATTTTTTTGGACTAGTAAATGACGTTCGATTAAAAGATCTTTCACATGAGATCATCGATCCATGACGAAGCTCATTTATGGATGGCCTTGATGATGAACAGTTAACTGAGATTTAAAATTCTATGTCACATTATGAATATTATACGCTGCTAAGTGAGATCTTCTGTCAGAATCCATCCATCACTACGGAGAGTTAAACATCGCCACCAGTTTCAGATTTTATTTTTATAACTTTAAAAAAATGTGAGCCGTTAAATAGGATCTTTACACCTACCGCCTCCCACAAAGGACACAACCTGCGACACTTCTTTCGCTGACTTAAAGGACTCCAAGGACAGTCCCGAAGTCTTTTGGCCAACAGGTTTAGAGATATGGGTTTATTATGGCGTTTATTAAGTTTCCCAAGCAATGAATCATTTGGTCATTGTCATGTCATTGGATCAGTGGTCCTGTCCTGTCATTGGGCCAGGTGGTCCAGATATGTATGTCATTAGGCCAATGTCCAGTCATGTCATTAGACTAGGCGGTCTTGTCATGTCACTAGACTAGGTGGTCCTCTCTTGTCATTAGACTATAGGTGGCCCTGTGATATCATTAGACTAGGTTGCCCAGTAATGTCATTAGAATAGGTTTTAAAGTAATGTCCTTAGACTAGGTTGTCCAGTAATGTCCTTAGACTAGGTTGTCCAGTAATGTCATTAGACTAGGTTTCCAGTAATGTCTTTAGACTAGATTGTCCATTAATGTCATTAGACTAGGTTTCCAGTAATATCATTAGACTAGGTTGTCCAGTAATGTCATTAGACTAGGTTGTCCAGTAATGTCCTTAGACTAGGTTGTCCAGTAATGTCATTAGACTAGGTTTCCAGTAATGTCTTTAGACTAGATTGTCCATTAATGTCATTAGACTAGGTTGTCCAGGAATGTAATTTGACTAGGTTGTCCAGTAATGTCATTAGACTAGGTTGTCCAGTAATGTCATTAGACTAGGTTGTCCAGGAATGTAATTTGACTAGGTTGTCCAGTAATGTCATTAGACTAGGTTGTCCAGTAATGTCATTAGACTAGGTTGTCCAGTAATGTCATTAGACTAGGCGGTCTTGTCATGTCACTAGACTAGGTGGTCCTCTCTTGTCATTAGACTATAGGTGGCCCTGTGATATCATTAGACTAGGTTGCCCAGTAATGTCATTAGAATAGGTTTTAAAGTAATGTCATTAGACTAGGTTTTCCAGTAATGTCATTAGACTAGGTTGTCCAGTAATGTCCTTAGACTAGGTTGTCCAGTAATGTCATTAGACTAGGTTTCCAGTAATGTCTTTAGACTAGATTGTCCATTAATGTCATTAGACTAGGTTGTCCAGGAATGTAATTTGACTAGGTTGTCCAGTAATGTCATTAGACTAGGTTGTCCAGTAATGTCATTAGACTAGGTTGTCCAGGAATGTAATTTGACTAGGTTGTCCAGTAATGTCATTAGACTAGGTTGTCCAGTAATGTCATTAGACTAGGTTGTCCAGTAATGTCATTAGACTAGGTTGTCCAGTAATATCATTTGACTAGTTGGTCCAGTAATGTCATTAGACTAGGTTGTCCAGTAATGTCATTAGTCTAGGTTGTCCAGTAATGTCATTAGACTAGGTTGTCCAGTAATGTCATTAGACTAGGTTGTCCAGTAATGTCATTAGACTAGGGTGTCCTCTCTTGTCATTAGACTATAGGTGGCCCTGTAATGTCATTAGACTAGGTTGTCCAGTAATGTCATTAGACTAGGTGGTCCTCTCTTGTCATTAGACTATAGGTGGCCCTGTAATGTAATTAGACTAGGTTGTCAAGGAATGTCTGTCATTAGACTAGGTTGTCCAGTAATATCATTAGACTAGGTTGTCCAGTAATGTCATTAGACTAGGTTGTCCAGTAATATCATTAGACTAGGTTGTCCAGTAATGTCATTAGACTAGGTTGTCCAGTAATGTCATTAGACTAGATTGTCCAGTAATGTCATTAAACTAGGTTGTCCAGTAATGTCATTAGACTAGGTTGTCCAGTAATGTCCTTAGACTAGGTTGTCCAGTAATGTCATTAGACTAGGTTGTCCAGTAATGTCATTAGTCTAGGTTGTCCAATAATGTCATTAGTCTAGGTTGTCCAGTTATGTCATTAAACTAAGTGTCCCACTCGTATCATTAGACTAGTTGGTCAAGTAATGTCATTAGACTAGTTGGTCAAGTAATGTCATTAGACTAGTTGGTCCAGTAATTTCATTAGGGTAAGAAGTCCAGTCATGTCATGACAATAGATCTTCCAGTCATGTCATGACCCTAACTGACACACATATTCTGATGAAGGTCTTAGATTACTCTCTTACGACCCCGGCAAGTACTAGATTGTCCAGTCATTTCATTAGATACTATAACTTAAACGAAAAAGCTGTTATTATTATTATTATTAGTATTATTATTCTTATAATTATAAGTGTGTTTTTATAGCGTGCTAACCCAACCTAGGGTTGGGCTCACCACGCTGTACGTACAATTTAACAAACATAATCATGAACTTTAAAAAATTATAGCGCGATCTAATTTATTGTACTATTGTACACTTTCTGACGTTCCTTCTTGTACAATTGTACACTTTCTGAAGTTCCTTCTTGTACAATTGTACACTTTCTGAAGTTCGTTTTTGTATAATAGTATACTCTTCGTTGTACATTTGTACTTCTTCGACCTACAATTTTACTATCATATACTCTCCGACCTACATTTTCACTATGACCAACTCTCCGACCTTTATGTATACTATGGTATACACTCAAACCTAAATTTTTACTATGGTATAATCTTCGACCTACATTTGTACTATGGTATACTCTCCGACCTACGCGTGTACTATTGAATACTCTCCGACCTACATGTGTACTATGCAATACTCTCCGACCTACATTTTTACTATGGTATACTCTCCGACCTACATGTATACCATGGTATACACTCAAACCTAAATTTTTACTATGGTATAATCTTCGACCTACATTTGTACTATGGTATACTCTCCGACCTACGCGTGTACTATGGAATACTTTCAGACCTACATTGTACTATGGAATACTCTCCGACCTACATGTGTAATATAGTATACTCTCCAACCTACATGTGTACTATGGAATACTCTCCGACCTATATGTATACTATGGAATACTCACCGACCTACATTTGTACTATGGTATACTCTCCGACCTACATTTTTACTATGGTATACTCTCCGACATACCTTCTTCCACAAGGGTATACTCTCCGACATACCTTCTTCCACAAGGGTATACTCTCCATTGTTACATCTGTACCGCAAACAACGGGACTGGTCAGGTATGGAGAACATCTCGTTATCACCGTATAGTCTCCCGTGTACACGACATCCTTCTGTAAGAGTAAATAAAATGGGGAGGAAAAGAATGGAAGAGAAGAGAAATGCGGCAACAGAGGGGCATTCAAGAGGCGATGGAAAAGTTCTGACCACTCACGGCCTAGTAAAGACCAGCGCTGTTGCGTCAGAGAAATGTGCGCCTTGCGACCATGCGGCTATACTACGTGTGACAAGTTAGCTACTTAGCTGTTTGGGTTACTGACATGCATCGCTTTTTTTTGTTGTCAAGGGTGAGGCAAATAAGGAAAATGATGCGCTATATTTTTCTATGTGGAAAATGAATAGTGAGTCGACCAAGCCAAATGGTCTTTCAATGTTATGAAATAAAAGGAATGCATATACACGGCTCAAGGAATTGGATCTTAAAGGTGTCACCCAGAGTCTCCAGAGCAGTACAGATCGGACTCAAATGTGTCACCCAGAGTCTCCAGAGCAGTACAGATCGGACTCAAAGGTGTCACCCAGAGTCTCCAGAGCAGTACAGATCGGACTCAAATGTGTCACCCAGAGTTTCCAGAGCAGTACAGTTCGGACGCCATCTTTCATGTCTACCGCTGTCGATGTTCTTTGGTGTCGGTTGTGCACGTCACATCCTGTATTGAAGTCTATCCCTTGTGATTAAAACGACGAGTTTGCCATTGTTTGCAAGGTGAAAGAGCTTTAGTGAGATCTTGTCTTATCGTAAATAAGACCTGCCTCAATTATCTTAAATGAACAACTTAGGGCAGCTCTTCCTTCTCGTGTTTTTGGTTATTATTAACATCATGGGAAGTTTCTAGCAAGTCCCTATACCACTTGAGTTGAAGGTGATATCTCGGTGGAGGGATTTGCTTCTCGTGTAAAAAATATTAAGGATCCTTTCTTTTTGGTGGAATTGGTGGAGTGTACATACATTTGTTTTTTTGTTGTTTTTTTTAATTTAATTAATGTATGTTAATTTTTAAGTTCATGATTATGTTTGTTAAATTGTATGTACAGCGTGGTGAGTCCTGCCCGAGTCTTGGGAATTGCGCTAGATAAAACTACTACTACTACTACTACTACTACTACTAATAATAATAATAATAATAATAATAAACCACATAGATATAATATAATTTAATATAAAGTGCATCAAATTATTTTTTCCGACATAAGAAAATTATTTTTCGGCTTGAATTTTTTTGTCATTTTTGGTGTAAGTCGGTGTAGAACTTTGAGATTCTTGTCATTTTTGGTGTAAGTCGGTGTAGAGCTTTGAGATTCTTGTCATTTTTGGTGTAAGTCGGTGTAGAACTTTGAGATTCTTGTCATTTTTGGTGTAAGTCGGTGTAGAACTTTGAGATTCTTGTCATTTTTGGTGTAAGTCGGTGTAGAACTTTGAGATTCTTGTCATTTTTGGTGTAAGTCAGTGTAGAACTTTGAGATTCTTGTCATTTTACTTGAAATTCTCCGAATAGGAACACTTTGTTTGAAATCTACAAACTCACCTCCACTCTTTTTTCGATAGTTCTCAGTAGGTGAAGTATGTGTAACCCCCAACACGATCATCAAAACCAACACGGTTGAATGCAAGTCTTTCTGAAAATGTATTTTTATACGTATTTTATAATTTAAGTACAA